GGTGCAAGGTCGTGGTGCAAGACCCCTGTTGCAAGGTCCCCCGTGCAAAGTCCCCATTGAAAGACCCCGTTGCAAAGTCCCTGTTGCAAGGTCCCCACGCGAGGCCCTGTCGCAAGACTCTGTTGCAAGATCCCCGTTGCAAAATCCTCGTGCAAGGTCCCCTGTTGCAAAGTCCTAGTTGCAGAGTCCTAGTTGCAGAGTCCTAGTTGCAAGACCCCGTTGCAAGGTCCCCATTGCAAGGTCCCCATGTGGGGTCCCATTGCAAAGTCCCTGTTGCAAAGTCCCCGTTGCAAGGTCCCCAGGACAAGGTCCCCAAGCAAGACCCTGTTGCAAGATCCCTGTTGCAAAGTCCCCGTTGAAAGGTCCCCGTTGCAAGTCCCCATTGCAAGTCCCCGTTGCAAGGTCCCTGTTGCAAGACCCCGTTGCAAGATCCCTGTTGCAAAGTCCCCGTTGTAAGGTCCCCAAGCAAGACCCCGTTGCAAGATCCCTGTTGCAAAATCCCCACGCAAAGTCCCTGTTGCAAGGTCCCTGTGCCAGGTCCCTTGCTGCAAAGTCCTTGTTGCAAGGTCCCCATTGCAAAGTCCCCGCTGCAGGACCCCATTGCAAAGTCCCTGTTGCAAGGTCCCCATGACAAGGTCCCCACATGAGGCCCTGTTGCAAGGTCCCCGTTGCAAAGTCCCCATTGCAAGGTCCCCATGGCAGGTCCCTTGTTGCAAAGTCCTTGTTGCAAGACCCCGTTGCAAAGTCCCTGTTGCAAAGTCCCCATGACAAGGTCCCCATGACAAGGTCCCCAAGCAAGACCCCGTTGCAAGATCCCTGTTGCAAAATCCCCATGCAAGGTGCCCATTGCAAAGTCCTTGTTGCAAGTCCCCATTGCAAGGTCCCCGTTGCAAGGTCCCCGTTGCAAGACCCCGTTGCAAAGTCCCCGTTGCAAGATCCCTGTTGCAAAATCCCCATTGCAAGGTCCCTGTTGCAAGACCCTGTTGCAAGATCCCTGTTGCAAAATCCCCATGCAAGGTGCCTGTTGCAAAGTCCCCATTGCAAGTCCCCGTTGAAAGGTTCCTGTTGCAAGACCCCGTTGCAAAGTCCCCGTCGCGCTCCCCGTGGCGGCCGGGCGCTGGGCCGCCCTCGCTGACGCGCGCTCCCCGCAGGCCGGGAGGAATACGTGGCCACCTTCAAAGGCAACGAGTTCTTCTGCTACGACCTGTCCCACAACCCCATCCAGAGCAGCACGGACGAGCTGACGCTCTCCTTCCGCACGCTGCAGCGCAACGGGCTGCTGCTGCACACCGGCAAGTCGGCCGACTACGTCAACCTCTCGCTGAAGAGCGGCGCCGTCTGGCTCGTCATCAACCTGGGCTCCGGCGCCTTCGAGGCGCTGGTGGAGCCCGTCAACGGCAAGTTCAACGACAACGACTGGCACGACATCCGCGTCACCCGCAACCTGCGACAGGTAGGGACGGGGGGGCCGCCGCGGCGGGGGGGGGGCTCGGCCCGGCTGGGAGCGCTGGGCGCCTTGGTCCGGTGCCCAACTGGGAGCACTGGGAGCGCTGGGCACCTAGGTCCAGTGCCCAACTGGGAGCACCGGCAGCGCTGGGCGCCTTGGTCCGGTGCCCAGCTGGGAGCACTGGGAGCGCTGGGCGCCTTGGTCCGGTGCCCAACTGGGAGCACTGGGAGCGCTGGGCGCCTTGGTCCAGTACCCAGCTGGGAGCACTGGGAGCACTGGGCATCTTGGTCAGCTACCAAACTGGGAGCTGTGGGCGCCTTGGTCAGCTACCCAACTGGGAGCACTGGGAGCACTAGGCAACTTGGACAACTACCCAACTGGGAGCAGTGGGAGCAGTGGGTGCCTTGGTCAGCAACCCAAGTGGGACCACTGGTCGCCTTGGTCAGCTACCCAACTGGGAGCAGTGGGTGCCTTGGTCAGCTACCCAACTGGGAGTGCTGCGAGCACTGGTCGCCTTGGTCAGCTACCCAACTGGGAGCAGTGGGTGCCTTGGTCAGCTACCCAAGTGGGAGCACTGGGCGCCTTGGTCAGCTACCCAACTGAGATCAGTGGACGCCTTGGTCAGACACCCAACTGGGAGGACTGGGAGCTGTGGGCGCCTTGGTCAGCTACCCAACTGGGAGCAGTGGGCGCCTTGGTCATCTACCCAACTGTGTTCACTGGGCACCTTTGTCAGACACCCAACTGGGAGCACTGAGCGCCTTGGTCCAGTACCCAACTGGGAGCACTGGGAGCACTGAGTACCTTGGTCAGCTACCCAACTGGGAGCACTGGACACCTTGGTCAGCTGCCCAACTGGGAGCACTGGGAACGCTGGGCGCCTTGGTCAGCTACCCAACTGTGTTCACTGGGCACCTTTGTCAGACACCCAACTGGGAGCACTGAGCACCTTGGTCAGCTACCCAACTGGGAGCACTGGGAGCGCTGGGCGCCTTGGTCCAGTACCCAGCTGGGAGCACTGGGCACCTTGGTCAGCTGCCCAACTGGGAGCAGTGGGAGCACTGGGTGTCTTGGTCCAGTACCCAACTGGGAGCACTGGACACCTTGGTCAGCTGCCCAACTGGGAGCAGTGGGAGTACTGGGTGTCTTAGTCAGCTACCAAACTGGGAGCACTGGGTGTGTTGGTCAATGCAGCTACTCAAGCGGGAGCACTGGGAGCACTGGGCGCCTTGGTCCAGTACCCA